TTTAGAAAGAGTATCATGTTAGTACTGTGATCCATCTTTCTTATCAACACTAAGGGCAGTTTATCAACACTAGTCAGACATAGCAACATTTCTTTTCAACTCACTAGAAAATACACCATCAACAATGTCTCTGTAAATTGCAAGTGTCCTCCAGTCACATCATAAATTGCATGTCAACCTTTAGAAACAGCTCAAACAGATCACACCCTAAAGTACCAGGTGCTGATATATATACATTTTTTGAAAATCACATTACAGAGCTCTACCTTTGATCATAATCACAAAGGTAAGAGGTGAACCCTTCATTTACGTCAAGTAGCTAATCAAGAAGCTAACCAAGAATAAAACATTTTGTCTGCTCTTGGTTATTAAATAGTGTTAGTTAATAAGTGTTAGTAGAGCTGTATAACTTCTTACCTAATGAAGCAAAAGGGAATAGGTGAGAAAAGATGCAAAAAATAAGTCTTGACTTATAAGAAGAGACAGCAACTTCCCCAAGATCAAAATATACACTTGGAATATATGTTGCTTCATGATGCAAACGTAAGAAAACATTATATACCAGATAACAAAGCAATGCCACTATTGTAATCAAAAACTGTTCTCAGATGAAGTGGAAGTAGCAATTATTTTACTAGACCAAAACCAAAAAATGGAATATAATTTTCCTATCTCTGAACAAATAACACAGCTATAGAATGTTCCATGTAACCCTTAATAATATGTGAAATAAAAACCTGCATGCATTGACTCCACAGGGAAGGCCCTGCCTTTCACGGTGGCAGAAGGAGAGGGGAACACATCTGTCAGGCATTATGGACAAAAAGGCCTTCAGTCACATTCCCATGAAATGCTTTCCACTACAGATATCCCTCAGATTAAAATAGATAACATTTCCTCCTTAAGGTCATAAAATTTAAAGCATTTAGGATAGAGCCCTACAATCCTACCAGACAAATGCTGAGGGCTTGAAGCGTACTGAAGTGCCCCACCCAGGGTATCTGTTTTTCTGCATGCCCACAGCTCTATCCTTGCTCCGAGGCATCCCTAGGTGTCCTGAAGGCAAAGAAAGCCTTGACATGGACATCCTGGTGCACAGCGGAATAGATGCGAGAGCCTGGCATGTCATCTCATTCTCCCACAGGGAAGAAACAACAGAAACCACCTTCAGAAAAGAAGAGGGATGCACAGGAGGTGGATGTACACTAACAGGGATATCTGAGGCTGAGCAAAATGCACCACGATCTCCAAATGGCCACATGTGGTAAGAAAACCAGTGTGGGAACAAGAAAAAAGTCCTCTAAACTTCAAAAGGGGTAGCACAGAGCCTCTGAGGATGAGCCAATTCTGAATTACAAGGAGCAGTGGAAGAAGCATGAAAAACATTTCATTTCTACACCAGTAAGATATAAGACAGTGCTCCTCTGAGCTATCAACCCCCTTTTGTTCATTTGTTTGTTGGATGGTTATTCACAGGAATGGCAGCTTTTATTTCAACAGTATAGATAAAAGTATTGCACTGAAATTTAAATGTCAAAGAATACATACTCAAATGTCAAATACCAACAGACAAATGCTGAAAGAGAAATGTCAGAAATACACCCATGTCTCCCACTGAGTATAACTATATTCACACAAATGCAAGCCACCACATGATGTGTAAAAACAAGAATTTTTCTGCAGTTCCTTTGGGACAGTAACACCACTGGTGTCAATAAAATCAGTATCTGGCAGCCATCTGACTGTATTACTCCAAGTACCTGACTCTGGCGACACATATAGCCTAAGTGATCGATGGCTGGCAAGGTGATGGATGGCATTTATAGACATAATGATACAAAATCTGCATTTCAGGAAAATCCCATTCCTAAATTTGCTAACTTGTCACTAGATGAAGGACCCCAACGCAATGAACCTGAATGCTCCCACTGCTTTCCAGGTATGACAGTAACCTGTAAAAGTTGAAGGAGAGGACTTGCAGACAGTTTCTGCTAGACATATGGCTTAATTTGGCCAATAAAACCAAACATGAATTCTTGGTGTTTACCTAAATTGTTTGCTTTTTCAAGTCCTAGGAATATTAACCTGTGAATATAAGTGAACTTTTCAAAAGTAACCAAATGACTTCCAAACCCAAACAGAACTGATTTCAAGCAGAATTTGGACTCTTGAGAAATTCAAGTGTGTGAAAATTTTACTTGCTTTAATTAAAATCAATTGATTGTTCCTCAGGGGGGAGAAAAAAAAAAAAAATTCTTTACACACTTGACTTGGTGTGAACTTCTGGTCCCAATGACTTCGATGGGCCTTTTGTCGTGATTTCACCTCTCATCTCCTATAAAAGTACTTGGAAACATGTTAATTAGGGAAAATGCATTTGTTTAGAAATTTCAGTCAGTCTGCTAATTGCAGCTGCTTCCACTAGAGTTGAGAAATAAAAATAGTTAGGTAGTTCTGTAGTCAGAGCACTAAATACATGAAAATCTGAAGTGCACTTTCATTAGTGTAGCTGACAAAAATATATCTGACTCCTGTAATGTTATGATTTGCTTCCAACACTAGTGGCTCATATACTGTAAAGTAAAACCTAATCAAAGAAAAAACTCGTTTGTTAAAAGAGTAAAACCAATATATGGCACTCTCTCCTTAAAAATTTTCTTCTCTCTCTCTGTTGTAAATGTTTTAGGATCCCCAGCTTATTTTTTTTAACTTTGTGACATTGATTATAAATACTATATTTATTTTAAATCCTTTTATGATTCAATTTTGTGAAAAAAAAATACAACATTAATTGGAATTATTTTGATTTTTTTTTTTTGAAAGCACTTCCAGGAACAATTACCACATTCTCACAATATATACAGAAATTTCTTTCAAAGAAAATTCCTGTCCCTACACCAGGACTCTTTCTAAAGCTTTCTCTGGATCACTGAATGTTGTTTAGAAGAAAAATTGGAACAGATTAAATCCGTTCTGCTCTGGATAGTTTCTTCTTTTTAACCAGCTGCAGCACATCACAAAACTCTAAGGATAGACATTCATAGCACAACCTTCAACAGGAAAATTTTCTTATAATCTGTATATTACATTTTAAACGTTCATTTCGGCAAACAGAAAAAAAATACATACTTCAGTGTCTTTTACCTTTGCTTTTCTCTTGGACAGAGTCTTGTTGACACTGTGTTTCATGTGTTTTGTGCAAAACTATTCTCTTTGACCAACTTCAAATCTATTTCCATTCAAAGACAGGGAATGCCTCTGTCCTTGAACTATGATAAAGGGTAGGTAAACAAGGAAGGTGCAAAAAGCCTGTTTGTACTATCTCATTGTTTTGCATAATTTTTGCCCACGGTCGTTAATGTCCTCTTTAAAAGTAAACTGTACTATAGTTGAAATCTGCAGTATAAATCTTAATTATACCATCAGAAAAGAGTCAGAAAGGTTAGGAAGTCTTTTTGTACTTCTATATTTCCAAGACCTTTCTGTGGATCTCTCTCTTGTCTATCTTTTTGTGAAATGGAAGAACACAATTTAATGCTTCACTGAGGCATTCACCCGGACAGGGCTGAAGTAAAAAACCAAAGTCAACCAATTTAATTAAATGAAGAGGTACAGATTTGTCTTAGGGAGGACTACCTGGTTGCTCTAAAGAATAAATAGCTCCTCAATGCATAGCATGGAAGATAAATCAAGTCAAAATATGTTGAAAGAGACTAAATTTGTAGTTGAGGGAATAAGGATTCATCCAACATTCTGGTCACCTAAAGACTTTGTGAAGCGTACCTCCAGATAGCAACAAAATCCAGTTCTGTTTAGCTTCCTAAGGAACTGTCAGGACCTCTGCTCAAGGTGACATAGCTATAGGCACATGTGTACATTAAGGTACTGACAACAGATGAAACAGCAGGAAAGGAGGAATTTCAGGAATTGAGACACACTTTTAGCTTCTTATTTATCTCTCTCTTCTTTCAGAGCAGTTATCCGTTACTGCAGAAGGTATGCAGACAAATGATCTACTTCATCATGTAATGACACTGATGCATGGAACCAGTTTACATATACTAAGTTAACTTTCTCTGTCATTTGCTTTCAGACAATCAATTCAGGTTCCTCACATACAAATTCCCCCCAGTGTGATCTGATACACTAAATGAAGAGATCTTGGTATTATTTTTCAGGAGGTCTGTCTTTCAGGGGGAGCTGCTCCTCTAAAAGCCTATTAGTCTTTTGTTTTCCTAAGAGGTACCATATGATTTTTGCTATTTTTGCCATCCCAGATGGGCAGTTGTCCAAACTTAAGAACATGCATTGCAAAGAGAGATCTGCTTCCACTATTCTTCACAAGGGGCTTAAATTTATTTTTACAGACTAGCAAAACTGAAATATCAAAAAAAGGTAATTTTGCTGGAGATAGATTGTTTGAGGAAATGGTGTACAAGTCCAAGTATTCAGACTGTGTCTGGCAGTTGAATACATAACATTACACATATTCTATGAAAGTTAATTTCTACTAAACCATCATGTACTTATTTCATGAAGACAAGAGATTACAGAAGTGTTGTCTGTGTTGCAACAGATACTGTCTTTCTGTACCCACCATTTGTAACTATCTAGCAGTTGGAGGTTCCCACTTTGACCATAAGTATCAGGTGTCAATTCGGGTGCTCTAAACATAATTCTAAGTAAAATCTGCTATTTTGGAAATGGGTTGCAAGGGTTACAAACCAACAGCTTTCACTGGTCTTTTGTCAACCAGCAGCTTAATGTATTCTGTATTACAAACAACATCTTGATCAATATGACCTACTGCGAGGCCTCTCTGCAATAAAAAAATAGGTGAGTATCTAGAAATTCAAGACTTCTCTCCCATTTTTTACTCCTCTTAACAATACACAACACCATGTTATCTGCCATCAAATACTTTTCTATTAACATGAAACACAAGAAAGATTTTTAAAAGATCAGCAAAAATAGTCTCGTTTGAATAAATGTAGCCTCACCTTGCGGATGCCTCTGCCAAGATCTTCTCCATAATTTGTCCCCAAAATTTCAAAATGCACATTGGGATTCCCCCCATTTTCTGCAAATTCCAGTTCTCCAGTCAAGCCGTTCACTCCACCCTATTGGAAAAAAAGGAGAATGGAGTGAAAACTCAGAAGTACCCAATTATAATAACCTTCTGTTTCTTCAAATCATTTGTGGACTAACTACGCCGAATATATACAACTACCAGAATTAGGACAGTTTTCCAAAGACCACATTTCCCTAAAAATTCTGAAGACTAAATTGTTCCTGCATCATTTATGCTCTTCACAGAAGAATCAAACTCAGCAATGCTAAGCAGGTGCAATACAAGCACAAGTCTTACTCCTTACTCTTAATGTATTTGCACTCCAATTTTTGTTCTTTGATCCATCAGCATATATGTATAGATATTCTTGCTCCATTAAAGAAAAAAAAAACAACCAAAACTTTTGCAACTAATTTTAGTGGAAGCAAAACTAAACACAAATACATAGAAGAAATTACACAAAAATTATTTTTGTTTATTTTTACTTCCCCGCCCCCCAAAAGTTTCTCAGCCAAAAGAGTTTTCCACATAAGATCAGGGTGAGGTTTTGGTCAAGTTATGTTTGGATCAAAAAACACCTAAGTGATCTGCACAAATGAAAAGGGACTTGTCTAGATTAATATAGCGATTTTTCTGTTTTCCTCCACAACTTTTCCTTACTGCTAAGAATGCATGAGATGAGCAATAATACAGCATGTTTTCAAAGCTTGCTTTTACTTTTTTACATTTTAGTCAGAAGGGGTTAAAATACTAAAGATGAAACAGTGAATATTTACTATAAAGAATCAGAGTTGAAAGGAATATACTTGCCACAACAATACTCAAAATATATTCCAGGGTTAATTCAACATGACACACATTTCATCTTTGTATAAGAACTGTGATGACCTGAACTGTAAAACCAAGACAGCCACTTGAAATGCCTATAATGAAAACCTTTAGCCCTAAAAAAATTCTTCAGTTTTCAGATTTAGGGAAAATTAGATGTTTAACCCACTTCCTCCAAGAAACTTGAACAATATTTTAAGTATGCATAAGAAAAAAATTTGCCTCTGGTGTAAAACCATATGAAATGCATACATTTTCTTCCAAACATAAGGCAAGAGTTTTGCAGTTGTGATTGCTCTTTCAGTTAATAGCTTTATTGTTTGAACTGAAAAAAAATGGAAAATAAACAATTGCAATATAAGCTACCTAGCTAAGCACATGAGCCTTGCTGAATAACGATTTTTAAAGCTGTATTCTCACATCTTCAGTTTGGAGAAAATCCAGGTAGGAGTACAAAATTTGCATATTCATTGCAGATTAGTATGAACTAACAAAATGTGGTCATCCTTTTATAAAACTTTAATATGATTATAATAAAAATAAGGAAGTTGATTATTGAGATAATAGCTTTAAAACTTACTAGAGACTAGTATTGTTAGGGAATAACACATACATGTTTCATGAAGTGCCATTTTCAGTTAAAAACAAGATAATACTTTGTGTATATACTTTTTAATCTTTTCTGTAATATTTACTTTTTGGATGAGATACTAGAATAAAAATAAAAATTTAAATAGAAAAAACAACATCCTGATTAAGGGTACATCTGTACAGTCATTTGCAGAAAGACTCCAGGTCATTTCGCCCTCAATGAGAGCCAGCCAGGCAATTTTGATACACGTGTCCATGGTTAATATGACACTGAGGTTACTTATTAGCTTGAGCACAATCCTGAAATAATCACACCTTCATGGCTGTTAGATTGGGGTTAGCACACCTCTGGCTGGTTCAGAGTAATGACAGAGTGAGCTGGTGTTTACCTGCAAAATCATTTGAACATATCCTTGGGTGAATAACTGAGTTTCACAAATATAAACCTTTTCTGCTAACTTAAATTTGACTACATCCTATTCACGAACCATAAATAGAAACCTGTTCCACATGACTTTTTTGTTACATGGTCTCATCTGGCTTTTCGATTAATTAAGCCAGAATTTCATGGTACACGTGATGTAGAAATGCCTGCAAAGCAGCACATATTTGCAAGGCTTGGGATCCCCATCTGACCCCCCCAAAAGCCTTTAACTGGCTGACTTGCCCTCCCTGACAGTATACATTTGTTCCTAGCCCTGCACCCCTTACCATATACTACTTTTATTATATTATGCTTTGTATTTCCTATATTACTTCCTAAAAGTTTTGCCCCCATGGTACTAATTAAACCTGTGGGTCTAAGGTAGATAAAGTATGAAAATTATTTAAACTGTTACAGACCACCTGAGCTGCACCATAATTTCAAGTGAGCCACAAGCAAGGTCTGGAAAAAGGAAGGGAAAACTGGACAAAATTATTTAAAAAAAGGAAATATTTAACAAAGAAAATAAAATGTGTTAACACAGATGCTTTGTACAGCAGAATGTATTTTCTTTTTTTCTTATTTTGTGACAATGTAGTTTTAAATTGGGAACTTTCAATATAGTAAATTAAAGTGACTTTATTTTCCACATTGAGGGTGCTCCCAATAATTTATGAGACACGAAAATAGAATCATGTTTAAAATGTAAAAGATTTTTTGAGACTTGAGACAGCAATTTAGAAGCAGATAATTTGAAGAAGTATTTTACCTCACTTACATACAAAGTAATGAAATCCACTTTTTAAGAAAACACAGGATTATTTAGAAATACACGTACCCTAACATACAGTACAGGTTAACAGATTTACCTACCATATTTTGGAATTGAATCTCTACCCAAAACCATTGTGTAAGTTTATTTACCTTGATTTTTAAATGGCTGCAACTGTTGCGACAAGTTACAAACTGTAAGTCTGTTATTTTTATTTGTCTGCAATCCAGAGGTAGCCATAACAACGTTTTTTTCCTCATTTATCTATTTTTCCAATTTTATCATGCTTTGAAAGTTTCTCACGTAAGAGTGTCTTTGATTAGAACTTTCTTTCCTAGACTGTGTACATCTGCAAATAGTGTAATAAGAGCTCAGATTAGATGGGAACACTCCTGGCTTGGAAAGGGCAGAGGCAGAAAGACAAAACCATGAAAAACTGCCCATATAATGCCAACAGCAAGACTAAATCTGATAGGAAACTTCTTGGAGGTCCTGATGCCTCCTCCCTATGTGGGACCTACCCAGCTGGACCTGCAGGACAGGCAATCCTGTTATTGCCCTCTTCTAGTCCTTATTGTCCCACACAGCTCTTTTACAAGTCTTACATGATCCTGTTTTGTTGCGTAGGGCTGACGGAGTGGGACAGTGTATTGCCTAAGGAAGAGTTTCAGGACTCAGCTCCAATTTTTCTGCAGCCTTTCAAAGTGTGGAACCCTCTAAAACACTTACTTGATCTATGGCATGTGTTTTATCCCTCCGCTAATACATAGTGGAAGGAGATCACAGAGGAAATGACAGCTACTGATCCAGTAACTTCCTGATGAGATTTTTCCAAGTTTTAGTGTTAATTATGACAATGGGTAAGAGCCAAAGAAATTTTTCATTCCATTTAACTTACAGAAACAATGCTATTTGGGGAAAAATGAAGACAGATTTATCATCTACTCTCTCAAATTCCTCTAAGGTTGAGCCACAACCATGCAATTTCCTGACACATGTAAAACTGAAGAGGGAAATGTCAGTTGTTAGAACAAAAATGTTTTACTTATGTTTCTGATCACTGCTCTGGGCTTTGCAGAGCTGTTGTAAAGCTTGGCAATATAGTTAAAGCCTACTTGAGTTCCGTCTAGACTGGCAAGATAAACTACAATTATATATGCTTAGGTACTACTATATTGTAAGTCCCTGAAGAAAGCACTATTTACCCAACAGTCAGGACCTCACTGGGAATGTCAGCTTGCCAATCATCAGTTATAAAATATTGTACTTGCTCTCATTGTTCCTGTTCAATCTCCCTCTTTTTTTCAAAATATGGTTATGCTCAGATAGTAGTTATTTTGCAATTAAGGAAAAAAATGTGGTTACAGGCAGAAAAAAAATGCTATAAAGCATTAAATATGAGTTTCATATTTTATTCTTGAAAAAATTTGATATTGAAAACATTGTTGAGTTTTCAACTCAACACACCTTTTTTAGCTGTTAGTGAAGAAAGCCTAATCTACTGCCTGAAAAACAATTTGACATCTTTTTTGCACGTCACCACTAAACACCACTGACATTTCTCAGACCAGAACTAGTTGACAATTCCACCCATGATTCATGAAACAGCACAAGGTACAGCTCATTTTCCAGAAAGGAATAGGCTCTACGTTGCTGCTAGCACTAAAAATTTGCTGTTTCTCAGTGAGCTAAACAAATGTGACTGGGAAGAGATCAGGTAAGCATGAGGGAAGATATATGCAGTAACTTGATGTCATTTTTCTGAGTTGATCCTCCATATAATCCTACTTACATTTATTCTCAGGCTATTCGGGAAGATTAATTTTTCCAACAGAAGAATCATTTTCTAGTAATACTTATTTCTCTTGCTGTGAAATAGCTTTACTGAGAAATAAACAAGTGAGCATGTGTTTCAGAATAGTTGCTATTACAGAAGTGAATTTAGAACTAATTGCTCGAGCTGGCCAAATTCATTAGAAGGATTGTATTTCCTGATGAATTTAACTATTTATTCAGTTCCAGAATGGGTAGAAACAGATATTAGATTTTAATAATGTTAGTGGGCTTGAAACGTATTTTCAGGCTTTGTCCAATCAACTGAATTCACACAGAAAACAGCTTTTGGAGTTGTTCGTAGAAATAGCGATGCAGGAATCAAATGTTCAACTGTGAAAAGTAACAAATGACAATTGGGAATGATTTAGAGAGCTATTTTGCCATTTCAAGAAACGTCTGAAACTAATTCCCCCACATTCCCTGTTCTTCCCTATTAGCTCATTAATCATAAAGAAATAAGTTAGTTTACCACCAGAGTTCTCCTATTTTTAAGAAGTGCTGCTGCAGGTAGAACATCAGCATTCATTCTCTTACCTTCTTCAGTGTGTAGCATATAAAGATTTCCCATGTCTTTTCTTATTTTCTCCTCCAGAAATCAGAAAGAGATTCCCTCTGCAGCTAAAACACTACCAGATATTCCCGTTTCTGGATCTCTGATTCTAGAACATAGATCTGCCCCCCTCACCCCCCAAACTTCTTCTAGAACTAGTTTTTTCCTGCCTTTTTTAGCAGCAATAACTCAGTTGTGCGCAGCAGTAGATGGCAACATCATCTCCACTTTGCTGCTGCGAGGAGAACAGCTACTTCAGTTGTTAGTCCTTTTCTAAGGCAGGCAGGCTGGAATTAGGCATCTCTTCCTTAACTCTTCCCCTACCACCACCATACTTGGCTACCAATGCGACACCCACTGAAACTACATAGAGGTGAGGGACAATCTGGAACAAGATGGAGATTCCAGCTCTGCGGTACAGGTTGTTATAAAGGTAGAGTTAAATTTGTGCAGAGGATGGAAGTTCTTTTTCCAGGAGCATTTAAGAAATCTCAGAACGTATCTTCACCCTGAACTATATCTTCTTATGATATTCCATTACACACTATATCTTTGAAACAGTGATGATTTCAAAATGAAAACCTGAACCTTTTATTCAGAAACTGTTTAAATATCATGTGGTAACTTTTTCCTCTTTTCTTTCAAAATTAAGGAAAAAGGTATGGTTTTGAGAAAAAGCTTCTTATTTCAGTTAGTTTTAGAGGATGTTCCAAGATGACAGGAAAGAAAAGATGTTTAAAGAAAAAAAAAAGATAGAAAATAGAAGGATTCTCAAGAAGAGATGAAGTATTTTTTATTTTTCCTTTCATTACTTTTTAATTTTATTGGTTTTTTGATACCTCATCAGACATTCATCAAGGTCAACTTTTTAATTTCAAAAGTACACAGCTGCGATCCTGAAGTTCTTCTACATCTGTGCTGTAGTGAAACAAAAGGGAAGGTAGACCACAAAACTAAAGCAGAATTCCTCTTTCTTCTGCAATTCCAGCCCTCAGCTGCAATCTTTAGCTTTACTCTGCCTAGGGATTGAAATGGCACAGACATACACACAGAGGAAATTTTTGTATTTCATTTTGGATTCAATTTTGACTTTCAATTTTAGCATGTTACTTTTAGACATTCATCTCTGCCGGAACAAAACAATATAAGGAGTATTTGGATTATCCAGTACACCAGCAAAATGGCTTCTTATCAAAGCCATCTCATTCAAATAGCAGAGAAATCCAAAAACAACAGGATGCAAGCCTGGTTAGCTGCACACATCAGGAATTTCCTTGAAATGTTATTAATTTTCTAGCAAGCTAACCACAGCTCTGGAATTTCCACTTGCTCCTGCCTTCTTGAGTGCTTTCATACTCCTGTCTATTTTCTTAATGTTTCAGGGTTAAGAGCTACATAAATTGATCTTCACCACAGTGTAGCTCTTCTGTGAAAGGTCACAAAAGGAGTTTGTTTTATTAATCACATCATTTTAGGAGGAGAGAATTGGAAGAAGATAAACTAGATAGCTAGGATGATATGGCAAAGAATGGAATAAACTCTGTTTGAGATGCAAAGAGATGAGATAGTGGTAACAAACAGCATAAAGGATGTTTTTGTAGAACAGGATCAGATCACATCCACAAACAACACACGCAAGCATATAATCATAATGCAAAACAGTCAGCAGCCCTTTCCATGGTGGAGTACTTCTAAATTTAGAGATGCTAGTAGGGCTACCAGACTTTGCCTGAAACTCCAGCTTAGATAGTAAATTCTAATTCTAAAGTGGAAGTGGGTATTTTGACTTTTCTGGCTCAGGCATCCTATTCGGATTTCAGTAAGTAGAAATAGCTTGTAGTTTATTAATGCAATAGTATTTACAAAATGCAAGTTGATATAAAAAGTTACAGAACCTGTCTTGCCTGAAACATAGCTTAAAATACATGGGACTGCCAAATGTCAATTTGAAATTGTTCTGATAGGTTAAGAGCAATACAGTTTAAAGTCCCTTAAAGCCATATCCTGCACCTGAAATAAGAAATTTATCCTGGATTACCCTTGCAGTCTCATGACTTTGGACTATTAGAATGGAAACTGGGGACAGCCACCGAAGAAAGCCTTGAACTGTTATTTCTGAGCTAATGCAGATTGACCCGGGACTGGGGAAAAGAATAAGCAGTGTTCAAAGGAGCCTTATGTTTTGCTCTCATCATCATAATTTCTGATGTAGTTAAGACCTAATGCAGAACGGCAACTTCTTGAAATAAAGTTGTATTTTGAATTATTTTTTATGTCCTTTTAATGAAAGCCATAAATAAAGCACCATTTTAGAATTTTTTTTTTTACTGTTCTGTTTTTATATTTTCTTCACAATGTAGGCACTGCCAGCACTTTAAATGTAAGTGTACATTACCAGGAAGTACATGCACACAAATGAGAAGGCAGTTTTATGAAAGACATCAATAACACAAGGAGACTGAACTGAATAATTTACAGGGAAGGGTAAACTACAAACCTATGCATATTTTGACTAAATACTAGCCCGGAAGGCTGTGATAATTGCCTCTAAGTATATGGAAGCTGTAAACATCATGGAGAAAGGGAATAACTAAGAAAAAAATATCTTTAAAGACTGAAGAACAGGAAAAGCATCTTGGGCATGAGCATGATTAAGGTATGAAATAATAATCACATGGAAATAACAAGAGGTTAACATTAAGATAAAACACTGTATAGACTGTTATAAGGAACAGTTCTGCAATGTCAGGAAGTAAACTAGATGAGTTAGGGGTTTCCTCACTTGTTTCCATTATTTCACTATATTAATGTCAATGGCAGTGCAACAGCAAATTCCACAGAACATTACGCAAGTGCAATTCTGCAACCTTTTTTTTCCTTTTACAAATAAAATAGAAAATTTATCTGCTTTACTTTCTAACCTGTGACACTTTTTTTTTTTCCAATGGGATATTATTTGTACTTGAAAATTCTACTAGTTTGATGGATTTGGTAAACAAACTCATTGACTTAATTTCAAATATAGGTTATTTGCATTCAGAAGGCATAAATACCTCAAAACTATTGCTTTGAAAAGACACTGCTGGTACTGGCAAGAATTACATGCCTCAGAGGGAAATATTGCCTAATACAAGTATTTTAGAAATTAAAGGTGAGGAAATACAGAGAAAAGATACCTTCTTAATAGTTTCCAGCATGGATCGTCCTCCTTGCCAGGGTTTAGAGTTCTTCCTGATGCAGGTGAGGCTGGCCATGCTGTGCCACTTCCTGTCCTCCAGCTTCTTATGAAAGGCATTTGCCAACAGGAGGACAGTGTCATATATGTACAGGTTTGAAATCTGCAAAGACATTAAAAAGGGAGTATTAGCATTATTTATGGTCTCCTGCCAGCAACCAGAATTTATCATTTGTTTTGCCTCACCCTTAATCCTCTGGTAATTAAATGACTTATTTGGTATTAAGAAGAAACTCTAAGAGTCAGAAAGTCATTATCTTTGGCTCTGGCAGAAACACATCTAGGGGCTGTCATGCTACAAGTGATTTACAGCAACAAACTACACACATGTGAAGTACCGGCAGCCCAATCACTGGCACAGCTCCACTTGCAGGATTTAAAGCCCTTCTTTTGAACATAAACAGACTTTCTTTTATTTTTAACCAGTTTCCCGCAACTTTCAATTTTTCAGTCACTAAATACTTGGACACCATAAAATTCTCTTCAACATTGTTTTGTTCTTTTGGAAAACAGAAACTCTGAAAATTTTAAACAAGTCATTTCAGTGTGGGTTTTTTCCTGATTTTTTAAGTCAGTTCTGACTGAGGCAATTTCTGGAATTAAATATGACCTGATGAAATCTTTCTCAATGCACAGTTGTATGTCGATTCTGCAATTTATGGTGTTTCCTGTCACTTGGGAGTACTTGGCAATGGCTGTTAATTCCTTGCAGGATGAAACTCTTACTGAGTAAATGTGTATATGTTTCACTGTAAGCACAGTTACACACATACAGCATGGGGAAGTTCCAGTTTGGCATCAAAGAGAGAACAGTTGAACTCAAGAAAAGAAATTACTTGTGTGCCAGTTCCACTTACCCATGTACTATTTCTCTATATGTACTTTTAAATGCACACAGTACAAAGTCAGATGCGAAAGACACAATTTAATGTAAAAGAACAGAAGCTCAGAGTTCATGAACGCTTCTGAAATAACTAATTTACAATATAGCTTTATTTCAGTAATTTCTGTCTTCAGATGGCAGGAATATTTAAGTTACTAACAGTATCATAAAGAGCAACCTCAGCTCTCCTGAACAGAGGTTCTTGGGAACAGAAATGATGTTCAGAAATGAGAAGGATCTTTGGGAATATTATTTTTAGATAACCTGGTGGTATTTGAAGCCATGGGGCATGAAGTTATTGAGGGAAACTCAGTTTCCTCAGATGCACTATGAAGGGGGCTGTAGAGCATTCCTAGTGCCTGAAAACAAATTAGTTAACAGCAACTTGCTAACTGAGGCAAGGCTGCTTTTTTTTTTTTTCCTCCATCAGTCACAGACAAGCCAAAAGACATTTCCCAGATTTGTGGAATATGTTGACTGCTCTGTGTAAGTTCTCCCTACAGATGATCTGCTCAAAATGCTAAAAGAAGAAGGAAGCTTATAATAGAAAAGTATGCCAGCTTTGTGGAGAATGTTCCTGGTTCTGCCTCTTAAAAATATCCAAAGACTGGGAAAGTCCTGCAGTTATTGGAAGGGGATGTATGCCAAGGAAGCACAGTAATGCTGAAGATCTAAGACAGTGACTAGCAAATCCACACATCACCTTAAAAAAAAAAAAAAAAAGAAAAAAAAGAATAGCCTCTTTTCCTGCCTAATTACTCCTTTCCATAGAACTTTTTGTTTTGTTTTTATTTTCTTATGCAAATTTCATCTTTATGCTGGTTTTGCCTGTGTCATCTGCAATCTGCTCAGTTCTCACAGGAAAGTTTTGTGACAGACTCCATCTCTGCCTAGCATCCAGGAAAGAGGTCATCTTTCTCATTAGCTTGCCAGAATTTCCTGGGGCATTTTGTCCTCCACATTTTATTGAAGGAAGTCTAATGGAAAGCTTCTTTCCCTCCTGATAAACTCCTGGGATCCTCTATTGCCTTTACAACTCTACATTGTTAGTACCACAAACACACAGAACTTCTGATCCTTATTTCCCTTTTTCTTTAAATGACAATGATCCTTCTCTCCCTCTTTCAGGAAGACTCTTCTCTATTCTTACTCGAGTTTCTCCCATGACTCCGGTGGCTCTGAATATTTCTATTTCAGTATTCACCCAGGAACTAATTTACTTTCTGCAGATGCACAGGCCAGGCATCACTGTGCATCACAGGATTAAAAGCATGGATTGAGGATCTGGGCCCAGATTAATCAAGCATTTTTAAAATAACTCAGATGATTTGTCTGTATATTCTAAACCTACAAAGAATTCAAAGCATTTCGGCTAAAAACGTATTTCCCCAAAGAAGTCAGCACCCCAGAGGCATTTGTTTGAGGGAGAGAGAAGAAATTATTACTATGCTGTGAGACAAATTTCTTTTACATAAGCCTTCACCAAAGGAGAAAGAAAAACACAACCCTCTAGAGAGCAGGGACAATAAGGTCACTAATGAGACTAAATTGGTACATGAAGGGCTACAGATGCCATGTCATCATTTCCCAGCAAAATGACATTGCTTTCAAGGTAGCTCCCGTAACTCAGTATCATGAGAACGGAAGACTGTTGTCACAGTTCATGAGGAAGGATGCACTCACTAATCTAAGAGTAATATAGCTGGGCCTTCATCAAGTATTAACAGGGCTCAGGAGTACAGAGCTCACCAATTATTAAGCATTGTTATTCCTTCACTAATAGTTCATCGTAACATTTACAGCAATCAATCACTGATAATGTAATGATAAAGACACTATGATTAATTTCTGCTTCTCAAAATCACCCTTCCCTATCACTACCAGAAGTATGCTTCATTACTGATTGTCCTAATGCACAGAGTGGGGCTGTAATTTAAAGGCACTTTACACTTTCATTAATTTCCCATGTAAATTTAGCAGGACATTTAATGTATTGCCTGGTATCCACTACTGATCCTTTATTTATTCCAAGTCTCTCAGACTAATGGCTGGACACTTGCATTAGCAAGCAGTATCAAACTGCATAACCTCCTGTTGATACAATTCAAAATTCAGATGTGGTATTTTGTTCCAGAATGTAGAAGAAAGGTATTTAGCAATCAGATTAAGTATGAACGATTAATCTGGATCAACAGTGTATATTTTATGTATACCTAGATTATTGCACATAGTTTTTAGACAAAAGGGTTATGGTACTGAACAATTCTGTGAACCCAGTTTTTAACTTCCTGACTCCAAAATTTTACAAATTTATAGAATTTGTTGTTGTTGTTTTGACTAGGACAATCCGAGAGGCACAAGAAGAGATGCGCACCAAAATATTTTTCAGTGTTTTAATAAGGATGGTGAAAAAAATTAATTATTCACACAGACTTTAAGGGAAGTAATTCAGAAAAAAAATAAATCAAGAAATTCACTCTTACAATTTCCAGAGAATATTTCTGATTAGTCATACTTCGATGGCACAAAAGAAGGCATTAGAAATTTCAATTTATTAACTGTTCCAATTACCCGCTGGAATACAAGTTAATTTATAATATTGTTGGGGAGAACAAAGAAACAGCAAACAAACCCCACAGCTACTCGAAGGTCTGTGCATCATATGAAGACACAGGGGAAACTGTGTCAGAGTTTTTCTTCCTTTCATTTTTTATCATCTCACTCAGCTACTAATGAAGTGCAGCCATATTGGGGAAAGCATGAAAAAAGCAACTCAGCTGTGCAGAACAATTTAACCAGTCAAGCTTCCATCATTCTTTTGAGCCAAAATGTTATGAGAACTTTAAATAAGAACATGACAGCTCTCCAAGCTATAGGTTGATCAGAAGAAGCACAGGTTAAGGTATAAGGTCCAATCTAACACATTAAACATAATTTGCCAATTTGTAGAAAATAAACTTTGTTTTCTAGAACTTTTCTTTCCTGGAGTCAGTTCACTGTTGAAGTGAAAATGAAATTAATGTGAAGTTGAAGAGAAAAATAAACCAAAACATGAAGTCTCCCACTAATACACAATTCCTGTTTTCTATCTTGCTGTAGTCAGTAACTTTGTTCATTAAAACTGCTTTTTGCAATCTGTAGTGGCTGCACCTAATAATACCCTCAGTTTCTATGCGTTATCCATAGACTACCAAAGTTCCCCCTAGGACCATGGTGCTGTAAAAGAACAGCGCAACCTAAAGTTTTTTCACACTTCTTAAATAGTCTCTAGAGATACCCTATGCACTTATTGACCTCACACAGCCCTGTTTCTTTTAAGAACTCACAGGATCACTGTGTAGTGTGCTACAGCCAAACTTTTTCATGTCGTCAGTAGTTGCTTACTGGCTGCTTTGTGAACAATTAGTGAGGCAAAAGCTCTTACAGCTAACCTGAAACAGGGAAAGACCAGCCACAATACTTCTTTTCCCCTTAAATATTTTTGTTGTAAGCAAGGACGCTCCTCAACATTTCCCTATTTCTCTCACTCCTTTCCTTCAGCATCGCAACTACTCTTTGCTGCCAAGTCAGATAGACTCCTCCTGCACCACCGCCAATGCAGTCATCTTTCTATAACTTCATAAATGACCACGCAAAAAAATTCCAAAAACAAAATCAACATCTTGAGCCAATTTAATATTTCTGATTTGCCCTAGCTTTGTCATAATGAAGCCTAACCAGATATATAAGAGAGATAGTGGACTTGCTCTTGAAAAAGTATGTGAAGTCAGGAGGACAGTGGCCATGATGCTGTTGCTAATTTCACATGGTAGGAAGGCTCTTATAGTTTAACTGTGATCTGACAACCCTGAAAATAAGGCCTTTTTGGAACACAGGTATAGATTTAGGTGCATATGCCAAGACACTTGAAACAGATGACACAGGTGACCCTCAGGAAGGCTTTCCTATTGACAGCACATTTGTGGCTTAGAGAAGTATGGCACCCCACAGAATCATTAGGGTTGGAAAAGACCTTTAAGATCATCAAGTCCAACCATTAACACACCACCACGCCCACTAAACCACATCCTGAAGTGCCACAAGTACATGGTTTTTGAACACTTCCAGTGATGGTGACTCCACCACCTCCCTGGGCAACCTGTTCCAATGATTGACCACCCTCTCAGTAAAGAAATTTTTCCATCCTGAACTCAAGACACATTGTCTATGGGGAAGAAATTCTTGGTGAGATGACAAAAAATAAAATTTAGCACGGCCACAAAATAACTGTCTCACTGCCCCGAGATCAGGTGGCTTTTTTGGACTTTTTTTCTCAACTGCTTGGAGAGAGCGAGTTGTTCTCATCCGTCAACCGCACTCATCCACTACCCAAATATTTTGTTCTCATGCCATGAGCCATTAAACTACATGTCAGAGAGAACATGAAAAATAAACATTAAATTACACTAAGGTTCTGGGGAAAAACCTTGTGCTTATCTAGAAAGACAGTTCCCAGGTGGGAATAGACTGGCATATGAACTACCTCCATGCTTTGGGAGAAAGGGTCCTTCGGATCACACAGTGACGAAGATATTCTGTGGTTGCCACGGAAACAGCGCTGACTTATGTTTTGGGGAACTGGAAATGTCTGCCGAATAATTGTTAACCTTCCAATTGACCTTCTCACCAGCTCCTGCACATCCACATCGTTTATTTCCTGGAAGATAAGGCAAGGGAGAGAATATACATAAGAGTTAAAATACAGAAGTGTTACCATGAGATTATAAAAGAAAAATAAACCGAGAGGACCCATAGGCAAGATTGCTACATGGCTATTGTTGAGCTCTGCCGTAGACTCAAAAAGAATGTATATGTGCTCATTAAAACAACTGACATACCATCCTTACAATAATTGCAAAACTTTAATGTGTACTGTGCCCACACCTCACTGAATCTTTGTAGATGGAACTGGGCTTAGTTGTTTCATTTTAGGTTTTCTCTCCTCTCCTTTTAACTTTGATCTTTTACTTAAAAGTGTTTCACAGCATCCTTGGCAGATAACATGTAAATCAGTAGGAAGTCATAGCATGATGCATTTATAAGTGTAGCATTACTTAGGAACTATGAAGGTACAGACAATTATTCAGGCCTTAAGTGTTCATTTCTTGGAAACGGGATATCAAGAACCTATAAACAATGTGCAAGTTAGCAAACATAATTTACCAAAAGGGCAAAGACGATGCATTAGAGCATTCTAGGTGTGTACGTGCTTGTTTATAGCAAGACTTATATTAAAAACCAAGTTTTTATTCCATAGGGTACCTATTAAGGCTTACAAGTGAACTCTCAGCTCTATGGACACACACCTTAAAGGAAAAAAAAAAAAAAACCCTAAGTAAACACATCAGTATGTGAAATATTAAGCTTAAAATATTAACTTTAAGGCAGGTCAGGGAAACCAGAAAAACAGTCCTGTAGTTTGGGAACATGGTGTTTTACACCACTGAACAATGAGGCCCTCGGGGAACACGGAGCAAGAGGAGCGTGGGCTCACAAGCAACAGCAACTGACTCCAACCTTCGCATAAGTACTTGAACTTCAGTTAAACATGGGTTTTTTGCTGATGACTGAAATAGGGTCAAGTGGTAGCTTTCAAGGAAATTCTATGTCTGTATTTTTCTGTAAAGCATGGAAATAATCTACAAAATTGCTCAATCTTTTTAACTAAAATCTATTTTTTTTCATCATATTGAACTGTTTATTCATAATCTGTCTTAATTACAGAGGCTGATGCCCCAAACTTTCTAACCATTTAATTTTGTGGATACCCCCCCAGTAAGGGAGGTGCTTCATGAGCTCCTGTTAGCAGCCTGCATTTAACATAGATTTGCATTCAGCCATAGTTTATTGAATATTTCTGATTCTCATTTGTTTATTCATAGCTTTTAATTTTTTGAAGGATACAGCACATCTGCACTGTTATACCTCTAACTAAACACCATAGTCTTTTATTTTACCTCTAGCTTCCTGATCTATACGCATAATCAAGAACTTAGGAGACACCAGGAGACAGACTTGAACCGAAATTGCAGGATCTTTCTTGTGACAAGGAAGCCAAGCTTTTTAAAAAAACAGTTCTTTAAATGTTAAGACAACTATCCCAGTAATTTTGGCCTCTCTCTCTCTCTTTTTTTTTTTTTTTTTTTTTTGTGTGACTTTCGGTTAGCATTATTTAAAATAATTATTTTGAAGCAACTTTGGGCATACTGGCATTTGTTTATTTCCTTGAAAGTTTGGAAGAGAAATACATGAGATGTAAATTTTCATGTCTACTCTCTTGACTACAGTAAAAATATTGTATTCTTCTTCACGGATTGTCATAGTTTCTGAATTCATCTGTTATTAATATTCTTTATGAAATATAGATTTTTCTGCAAACAAAAATAACACATGGCATCAGCTGCGTCCAATGTAATATCTTGCATTTCTGGTCCATTAATCCTTAATGTACCATAGATAATGGTTTCTCTCAGCTTAAGATGCCATCTTTTCTTTTAGTCTGTATCATTTCACATGGAAAAAAAAAAAAGCTGTTTTAGATAAAGACATGTAATTTTTTTTATAATACTTTCAATATAATCAGAAAGGAGAGCACAAGAAACTTATCTTGATTTTAAACTATATTCTTTCTCAAAGGATTTTTAAAAAGTTTGCCTGGTTTCATTATACACTGTGCCCAAACTGTAACAGCAAGACTATTAGACTCATTCTAATAATATAAAAACTGACACCTGCATGGCCATGTTATATTGCTAAGTAATACTTTAAAAGAGATTTTGACTTTCAGCTGCTCAAACATTTCTCTTTTCTGCCTCAAAAGTGTATTTGTTTTTTCCATATTTAGCATTTTTTGGTGCATTTTAATTAGAGTGTTCTCATTTTAACCTTTAGGTTACTACCTCATATTTTTGTACATCACCTGGGAGCTAAAAACAGAATTCCAAACACCGAAGAGGTTTTTGTATTGTTGCCAAGGAGGTATATACAACAATAGCTTAATGACAGATATTATTTTAAATGCTGTGAATTCTACCAACTGCATCATAAATCCAGATTTTAGGTTAACAAGAAAGCAATGCTATGAAAAGCTAAATTCAACTTTAGTAATTTGTTATATATTTCTTCGTCATTTTTTTAATACTTGGCATTGACTGAGTGATGAGCCTTTTATGTAATGACTCTTCAAGATCATTTCTCATTCTTGAATTTTGGATCTGACTTAAGGAAACTATATAAAGCAACTATTGTATGTGGGTAAACAATTTTCATTTGCACTTCAAAGGAGGATGCAGTATAATTGATATAAGGATGGCAGATGATCTGTTATACAAGCACCAAATGTCAAAAAAACTTACAAAATTGGCCAAATTGAAGCGAGTTGGCAGCTGTATAAATTTAGGCTAGATTATGCACAAACTCCAAGACAAGTAAAGGGAGATATTGAACTGCATAATCATTTGCTCTACTATATTTTCCTTAGGTTTCTTAGGTTCTAGGGAGGATGATGAAAAAGAGAAAACTAACAGGACAAGGAGAAATCAATTTTTAGCCTTCACAGAGAAAAAAAGTGCAAGAATTTGGAGAAAACAGGGCTAAATCAGTCTGTCCATTGGCTCTCACCCGTCTGAAAAAAAAGAGCTGGCAGCTTGGTCACCAACCTGTACCAAAGAGGGTGGTATTTCACACCTGACCTGCCGTCACCGTTGGAAAATGCAAGGGTTCCAATGAACCTCTAATGCTACTATTAATCAATTATCCATATTAAAATGTAGAATTATGTGAGCTCCTGGAACTGAGCTGTGATTTTAGGACCTGATCTAGCTGCTCAAGCTTAAAACATCATCATGATCTACTCTCTTCTTCATGGTGGGGTGCATTGAGCTGAAACACCACAGAGCAAGCTGAATGCATTGGTCTCCTAGGAAGAACATGTATTCATCTGAAAGTAGGCTTTGAATACAAGCTTGTGGGTCCTCAGTCCTCTCTTGTGTTATGATGGGCAAAACTGTTGGATCTTCTTCCATAAACTGTTCTTTAGAAGAGTTTGGGTTGGTGTTGGTTTTTTTTTTAATTCTCTCCTCAAAGAAGGGAGTTCTTCCAGATCCGGATGCCTCTGGTAATTAGAAATCTTCTGCTAACTTTGGCTTTCAACTTATTCTTGGGCAATTTGAACCCCTTTGTTCCTGTGCTAGTCTTGTCCTCTAGCCCTTGACGACGACGCATTTATTCACACTCTGTATGTATTTATAAATAGAGAGCATATCCTCTTTCAGTCTTCGTTTTCATAAGCTAATCAAGCCAACCTTTTCAGTTTCTTCTCACACAAATCAGTCTTTCTGTGCATGGTTTCCATTTTAATTTTAATAGAGCTGGTCATAATTGTGCATATTATTGAGTTTAAATCCAACCAATCCTTTGTACAGTAGCATTAATATTTTCACCTGCCATATGGTAACTGTAGGCAGTGGAAAGTGTTTTGGGTTGTCCTTGAGTAAACAATAGTAATAGAGAACTGGTGACAGCCTTGGGCATAGTAAGATGACCCTGAATGTTTTAATAAAGGAAAATGCTTGAGACACACAGCTTTACAATTTTAAAAGGGATGTTTCTTTCATTTAAAAAAAAGAAAGAAAAAAGTGATGAAAATCATACAAATGTCACTTCTTTAGTTCCACTAAATAAATCAAAGTTTACTGTACATTTGTGATTTAAGAGCCATAAAGAAATATATTTTTACTATCCTGAGCTTTTTGAGGTTATATTTACTATTGCGCAGAGGAAAAGAGACAGGCAGAGACAGCCTGATGGGGGGGTGGGCAGAGAGAGAGTGAGAAAAATTTTGTTAAGGCATATTTTATCATGACTACATTCAAATCTATGACTCCTGCAAGTTTTAAATAAAGAATTGCACCATCTGCTTTAAGACCCTGAAGAAATAGGAACATTTATTTGGAGAACATTTCCTCAGCTGACTGCACTGATGAGAAGGGATTTGTACTATTTGCAAAGGACTAATACGATGTATCATGCTTTAGCAAATTATGAATCCTTTCATTTTATGGGAACAACCCCCCTCCTCCCACACATGCATTTCCATTATGATACACAGTCTTCAAGCAAATTTGCTCTATTACATAAAATAGCAACTAATGGGACAATAAAAATTAAGAAAGTGAGCAATTAAGATAACAGATGTTACCCCACAAAGCCTAAGCAGATTCCTGATCACAAAACTGAAGGTGGTATTTCCTTTTGTATTACTATACTCAGTAAGTGTGTTGTATGCCCTTGGCACAGCAATGGAAAAGGAAAGAGAATTCCAGCTTATTTTGGCATCTCATTGCAAGGAATGCTTGCAATGAATCATATGTGGATTTTGCAAAATAATGTATTCTCACTGTAACAGATCATCTTAGATTTTCAAATTAGGAGGCCAGAGAAGCAGACTTACAGTTACTTAGTTGATCATTTGATTTAGCCAATACAAGCACACAAACACAGATGTCTAAGTTGTCTAAGATGTCACAAAAGATTTATGTAAGCAGCAAAACAGGCAGAGCTCTGAGATCATTTCACAGTCATATGGAAGTACTGTGGTCATCAACAGCTAATGGACAACCATATCAAATGGACTTGGATGTGAAAATAGATATTTTA